TCTTAAACCAAGTTATTAATCTGACATTATAGAATTGAGGAGGACAATACTAGGTCAATGTGGAATCAAGACTGAGTGCATAATAGAAGTCTTGGATACGAAACATATATTGATCATACTCACGAACTTGGAAGATTATGTGTATCTAATATTTACAACAACTTTATATGTGAAAGATGGCATCAAAACGTTGAAAATATAGTGGGGAGAACATAACAGAGTTTTGATAAGTGGAAGAGTGGTAGGAAAGAATGGATGGTCAGAAGAAGGAATAAGTATAAGAGGGATAAATATGAGAACATTAAAGGGGGGAAATGACATTTAAGATGAGAATTCCTTCGAGGCAATGAAGGGCAAGGAAGAGTTGGACAAAGTGGAAGAAGAAGTTCAAAATATTGAAGGGAGAACAAAATAATATGTGAACTAAAACTTTGGTAAAATACAACAGGAGATCATTCAGAAAGAAGGGGAGGAGCAAGTTGATACAAATGGGACCAACATGAGTCAGGACAATAAGGCAGAAAGAAAACAGGAAAGGAAAGTAAAGTTATCAGCACAACATAATCCAAGTGAAGAAGATGCAAATATAGAAGGAGGAGGAGAATATAGAGAAAGCCTTAGTGGTAGCGAAAGTTAATAATAAAAGAGTTGGTTGTACAACATGACAGTCATGAAGAAGTACTGGAACCAGAAAGGGTAAAGGGTAAGTATGGACAAACATGATTTATCACAAAACAGTTCAAAGGTGACCAGAGAAGGAAATTTGTCGGTTGAACAAATAGACAGAATAAAGAAGAATCATGTCAAGCAAAAGAAACAAGGAGGAGAAGAAATCACTACTATTCAAGCATCATCAAGACAATCAAAGTAAACAATTGTCAAAAACGCTAAATATCTATGAGAACCTTAATATGGAATATCATGTAGGCAAACACTCAAAACATGTTTACTAGACTGATAAATATGCATAAAAGATACCAATTTTATACGACGGGATTTATGGAATCTTTTAAAGATAGTCAACAACTAGAGGAGCTTAGAAGGAAGTTGGGGATGAAGTATACAAAGGCAGACACAAATTGTAAAATTTGGGCTTTTATTGATAAATCGTGGAATATGAAATAGTAAGGGATAAAAAGAAAATGATAAATTTTAAACTGAAAAATCAAGGATTAGGCATTGAAGTGATGATATCACTAGTGTATGTTAACTGTACACAAAGTGAAAGATTGCAATCATGAAATTTGATGTCTAATAATAGTAATCTACCATGGCTGGTAGGAAGAGACTTTGATGTTATCAGTACTAATGAGGAAAAATTGGGGGGAAGGCCAGTAACAGAGATGGAGGTTAGAGATTTTAATCATTGTCTTAATGTGTGTAATCGGAAAGATAAAAAAAATTCAAGGGTAGCAAGTACACATGGTGGAATAGCAGAACTGATACAGAGTGTATTTTCAAAAGATTGGACACGGGTAGTGAGTAATGATATATTGATAACTATTTTTCTGATTCTTGAGGTGGAACATGTGGTGAGAAATGAGTCGGATCATACTTCTTTAGTGATCACTTTCAAAACAAATAAAGAGAATGTGATTAAGCCCTTTAAATTACTAAATATTTGGTTAAGCGAGAAGCCTTTCATGAGGTGATAAAAGAACATTGGCATGCTAATTTTGAAGGGGAATTGTTTAGTTTATTTCATCATACATTGAAAAAGGTGGAGAAAGTATTGATTCAATGGAGTAAGGACACTTCTGCAATATTTTTTTAGGAGATAATCACTTTAGAAGAAGTCATTAAAGTACATGAATCTCATATTGAAGTGGATCCGTCTAGAGCTAATAAAGAGAAACTATATCAAGCTCAAGCAGAGTTAAAGAAGCAACTGTTTAGGGAGAAAGAATTCTGAAAACAGAAAAGTAGTATAAAGTGATTTAAAGAAGGATAGAGAAATACAAAGTTTTTTCTTAACATAGTCAAAGGCAGAAGAAAAAGAATTCAGGATGATAAAGGTGAATGGCTAAATCAACAAGAGGATATTGTAAAGACAACAATAGAATTATATAGGAGGCAACTCACAAAGCAAGAAGACAACAAGGATTGTGATATGTTGAATGACTTAAGCCAGAGATAAATGAAGAACTTCAGGTATACAATCTTTTGAAGAGTGAAGGAAGTCTTAATGGGGTTAAACAGAGATAGTGTAGGAGGTCCAGATAGTATGACATGGGCTTTTTATCAGCTTGGGAAGTCATTAATACATAATATGGTCAAGCCTTCTTTAAAAGTGAGGGGCTGCCAAGATTTTCCACGCACAAAAACTTAATCCTATTAAGAAAATTATTATGAATAATTTCTCAAACTTGCGGCCTATTTTGTTAAGTAATTTCGTGATTAAGGTCTTTTGAAGAATAATTCATGAGAGGCTTAAAACAGTATTGTCTAGGATTATCTCTTTAGAACAAGTTGATTTTGTACAAGGAAGGAGTATAACTAAAAATGTTTTATTAATGCAAAAAATTATTTTAGAGATTCGGAAAAGAGGTAAGCCATCAAACTTGTATATGATGAAAGCATATGATAGAGTTGAGTGGTTATTTTTTATGAAGGTGTTCAGAAGGATTGGTTTTTGAGAGAGGATCATTGATATGGTCTATAAGGTTGGTTAGTAATAACTAGTACTCAGTTTTACTGAATGGACAACCTAAAGGCTTCTTTAAATCTTTTAGAGGAATTAAGTAGGGAGATCCTCTATCCCCTACTCTTTTTATACTTGCAGTGAAGTAATGTCTGGATCTCTTGATGCCCTCATGGGTAAAAGATATTTTAAACGTTTTGGAATGCCAAGAAGAAGCCATAAAGTTAATCATTTAGCCTATGCAGATGAGATGATTACCTTATGTAAGGCAGAATTGAGAAATAAAAGGAAATAAAAAGCTTACTACAAGCAAATGATTCAAAGGATTGGGTCAAAGATTCAAGCTTGGAAAGGAAAATTACTCTCTTTTGGGGGAAGAGCGATATTAATCAAACATGTTTTGCACACTCCTCCTATTCATTGTTTGTCAGTAATGAATTCATCAAGCAATGTTCTAAACCAAATTCAATGATGACTGAATTCTTTTGCACTGAAGGTATATGACATTTGTAACACCCAGTAAATGTAAAGGTCAGTTGGAAGGTGAAAGGGCTGTAGATTGGTGTAAAAAGTTGATGGTGCGCACTGGTTTCACATACCCATGTACAGACTATTGAAGGTTGTATGGATCTTGAGTACCAATAGTGGTTTGATAGTTGAAAATATGGAAAATGTCAAGTCTCATATGTATTCTACGAGCCAACAGTATGGTTCGTGAATGGATCTACGAGTTGTGGACGAGGCTCATGGATGGAGTTCCAGACTGAGTGATATTTTGACACCTTGAGTTTTATACATAGCTTGTACGGATCATACACTGAAATACGGGACGTAAAGGACTCTCGTAGTTGGTCTTTAGAAAGTTAAGTCTCAAATGATTCGTTTACGACTTTCCAGTACAACCCGTCAAAAAAGGTACAAACCAAACTTGACATTAATGGTTTGTAGGCCTAAGGATATATGCCTCTGACTTAGGGTCATGAAGGACCAGTACGATATGTGGCGACCTAACGTACGGACCGTACATGGGTCTGTAGAGTATCATTATCTCAACAAAAAAAAAGTTATTTTTAAACATTAAAAAATGAAAGTATCTTTAGTTGTTAGTTAAAAAATTAAAAATTAAAGTATTATTATCTCAACAAAAATTATTCTTACCCCACTCCATCACCTCCTCCCACCGTACCCTTAATACACCCCGCACCCATTTTTAAAATAAAAACTTTAATTTTCATTTACAAAAGGCATTTTAAAAAAACATTTCTCTATCCCTAAATCCCCCTCCCTTACGGAAAAAATTTAGATATTATTTTAATTTTTTTATTAAAAAAAATCTACCACACTCCACCTAATCCTTCACTCTCATTTTCTTTTTCGTATTTCTCATTTTGTTTTAGATATATACATATGTTTTTAAGTAATTATTCCATTTGCCGCAAGATATTTTAATAAATAAACTATTCATTTCTATTATATTTGTTATCTAAGTAATATATACAATATAACATGAAAAAAGAATATTAAAAAATTGAGAACATAGGGATAAAAAAGGTGGAGTAGAAGTTGTTTTTTAAAAAAATAAAAATGATATGAAGTACGAAACTCTAAACGCAAAATTCGATCATTCAAGTCGGATAGCCGCCGTTCATTTTCTACCGAGGTCAGGGTTTTTTTGAAGACAAATCCATCATTGAAGGGCTAGAGGCCGGATCGCCATCCGAATAGATTTCAAAGCAAGCAGTACGATGCAACAGAGGAGCCCATTATATCTTAAAATATTGGGGAGGTCGAAGTAAAAAAAAATTAGAAAACAATCGAGTAGGGAGAGGAGGGGAGAGGGTAGTGTTGAGGGATACAGGAGGATGGGGGAGCGGGGGGAGATGGAGGAGTGGGTAAGAAAAATATTTTAAATTTTATTTTATAAAATAATAATTTCTTTTTTATTAGAAGATATTTTAGTTTTTAGCTTTTAATTAATATTAATAGTTTATTTAATTTTTATCAGGTAGAATGTTTTATCAAGGTAGAATGCCATGTGACGAGGCTTTTTTTAAATAAAGGAGAGTATATTACACATCAATGAGGTATATTTCTCAAACTAATAAGTGATAGTTTTTAAGTATGAAACTCGTTTAAGTGTGTTTTCGACCATTCCTCTTTAAATAACTAAATTAACAGCACAAAAACAATAGTAAAATAATGTAGAATTGCTTTTGAAGTATGTACATGAGACATTTGCCCTCTACCACCAAATTCCAACACCAAAAAGAACAGAGTAATATCCTATTCAAACCAGCAAAAAAACTTTTTTCATTACCCACCAGTTCACCAAATTGTCAAAGGCAATACCAGATATATCTCTAATGTTGTGGCAATGTAGGAGAAGTATACGACATAACCAGGTAGACGGTGCTGAATTCGTGCAAACTGCAACGTGTAGAGCTATGTTCTTTAGACCCGTTTTCGTATAAGCTAAAATCTCCATGTGCAATTTCTCCGTTACAATAGGTTCCTGAGAAGGTAACCCCAGGGAAGTTCTCCAAGAAAGGTGAGGCATCTACATTAGGTTTACCGAAATATAACTTGCCACGACCATAGCAAGCAAACATCATACCACCAAAAACAGACTTCTTCTGCATACCCATGCTTCCATTGCTAATAGAATGATCATCAGTTAGGTGGTTTAGATCCTGCTTCAGAAGTTTCATCTTGTTTGAAACATTGTTGCAAGAAGCACGCGCCAAATCAGAATTTGCATGGTAAAACTGGAAGGAGTCGTAACTTTTGATACCATCACCATGGACATAGAGATACTCGTAATCACCTCTGCAAATTCGTATAATTAGTTACAGAAGTAAAGAGAGAGAGGAAGAGGAAAGGCATAAATGGTTGTAAAGACAGCAGTTTCAACTACGACAACAATATGCTCACTGTGATCCCACAAAGGTTTTGGTAGGAATGGGGTGTACGCAAACCTTACCCTACCTTGTGGGAGAGAGAAAGGTTGTTTCCGATAGACCGTCATCTTAATAAAAGCATTTTCAAAAAAAAAAAAAAAATCGACAAATACAAGTAGAAAAGAGAAGTACTGACAGTAAAATTAATAAAGATAGCTCAAGTAAAAGAAACAACAGTAGTTATACAATTGAAAATGTTTTTCCATGTTTGCAGAAACAAACTCAGTTGAGGAGGACTCCCTATTGTCTCCATGAACCATCAAAACTTCCTACAGAATAATCCTTCTATCTGCAAGCTTTTACACATCAAACACCTCGGGATAGAAAATGTAATAAACTGGAGAGCAGAATGAGACATCATAGAACATTCAAACATCATACGTGAAGGCCATAAGGATAATCAAGCTCAATGGTGCATTAATTACCTTAAAACCATTTGGAATTCACGCATAAATATCCAGTTTGTGTCCACATGCCGAGAAGTGCATTTCCTCATCTTTGTAACTCCAACATAGAGAGTTCGAGAATGGGTATGATCTCCCAACTGATGAAATCAAATCATAGAAAAGAAAGATAAAGTCAAAGAGGAGTGAATTATGTTCATGTGTTTCAAACACACACATGAAGGAAGATGTATACAAGAAGGGAAAGTTCATCAATTAGACAGCTTCTAAGTTCTAAATAAGTAATGATTTAGTAAAAGACATCTTCAACACACAAGAAACCTTCACTTTCAGATTACGCTCTATATAGCAGATTATTAAACCATTAAGGATTAAAAAAAAATAACATAGTTTAACAAAAGTGGTTTTATTACTGTTTCTTATGATACTATACCTTGTGTAACTGTACGTGCGACAAAAGATCAATCGTGAACATTCTTCTATAAAGTCCTTTATAACCTTAATTTGAAATGGACAGATTTTTTTTCTTAGTCACCAATAGAATTTGAAATTCAGTCAGACAGCACGATCAACTCTAATCATCCAAATATGTCAAATCTGCTATAATGCATCTCGTTAAACCCATTGTATGTTCTTCCCTTCTAAGTGAGGCAAGAGCAATAGAGTTCTGACATTTGATGCATCCACACATTACTGAACTTAAAAGGATTCATTATGATGGAAGGAATCAAAGGAAAAAGACAACGAGACTAGTTACACCACAAAATCTTGCAAGTATTTTTGGTAGTTGTCTTTCTTATCAAATCAGCTGTAATTACTTCCTTCAGAAACTAGCTACTTGAACTTTGGTGCTTAAACATTAAAACCAATTTACATCAGAAGATGTACTACCTTACCTCATCATAAATCGGATCTAAAATAGTCTCACCATCCATATTAAAGTCAATTTCGTCTGTTGTCGCCATGAGCCGAGTAGAATTGTCATGAGATACTGCCTTAACATAAACAGCTTTGTATTTAGGCCCAATCGGTGAAACGCCAGTGGATAACATTACATGAAACTGAGTTTCCCCAACACCTGTTTATAAGGTCCCAGAAAATGATTTTCTCAATAAATTCCCTGGAAATATGATATGCTAAATTACCTACATATACGAAAATATTAAGTAGAAGACAAGAAATCTAATCATCAATATATTTACTGATATAAGTGCAAAAGAAGCACGACATAACTTTAAGAAATACAGACAATTTTCAAAAATATTAAGGTCATGAACCTAAAAGATCATGCATAACTACAAAGTTCACAGAGTATGAAAATTCATTTAGTAGAAACCACATCAGATAGCACTTACCGAAGTTATTCAGACAACTACGGGTCAAATGCAATACACAGCGCTCAAGATATATAGTAAGTGGTTTATGTTGACGATTGACATGATTGGCGGTGTTTTATCGGCACTCTGCTCCAATTATGTGTATTTATTTAGTGGTTTATGTTGACGATATCGTTATTACCAGCAATGATCAAGATTTTGTTAAGGATGTTGATTCAAAGCTAGACATCACAGAACTCTTGTTGTAGGCGCTAGGAGAAAGCTATGACTTGTGGGGTTTTTGTTATCTGTAAAGATGGCCTAGAAAAGCCTTTGTGCTACACATATATAATATTGTTACCTTTCTCAAAAAAAGAAAGAAAAAAAAAGATCAATTGATTATGTTTTCCTCCTTCCTATCTCAGTATCTCTGTTTCTATTTAATTATTAAGTTGAGGAATAGAACTAGCTAATGATTGAGTTGTACTCAAATTGGTAAGTTCATATTATTCCACAAGGAAGTCGACAGACTTCGGATTTTCATGGATATTAGCTGATCAAAAGTTGAGTTCGTGAAATTTTTCAAGAACAAAATTTGGGGAGTTTAGACAACTTCATAACTTAGTTGATATTGAAGATGTGCGCCAAATATTAATCATGCCCCACTATATCAGACTAGCAAGTTTCTCCCCGACCCAAATGCCTTATAAAACTGTGCTCTTGTTATTGAACAAACAGAATCATGATTTGAAACCGGAAAGTTCCAGTCAAGAAGAATTCCATACCAGGAGGCTTGCCTGTATCCCTTGAAAACAAAAGAGCAACAGCAGCTGAACTGGACACTCTGCTGTTAGAAGGGCTAATTGCTTTTCCATCTTGGTATAAAAACTTAGAACCCGCGTCACCCACAATGGCAGTCTCACTGGAAAAAGCATAATCTACAAACACAAAATGGGGCACTGAACATATAATTTATTTCTCACAGAATCAAGTAAGAAGAGAAATCAGAATTCATAAAAGTATATGGGAACAAATGAAGTTTCGCATAAATGAGAACTATGAAGCTCACTCACCCAACTTTGCAAGGACCGGTTTGATGTCAATGTCCTCGTCCTATAACAACATTCAAATGATTCTCATTACATTTTAAGTAAGAAAAAGAAGGCCGTTCCTAGATATTTGAAAACCATAAACTTCAAGTGTCCCTCAAAGTTCATTCAGCTTTTCAAACACAAAATTAAATAAATAAAAGCATGTTCCCACTAACAGCTTAAACTTTTAGATGAATTGGTCACACACTTCAATATGGTATTAGAGCAGGCATAGGTCCCAGGTTCGAGTCTCACCGCCACTCAATAACAAAAAAAATATCAGCATGCTTGACCCATTTTAAAAAATCTGGCATGCACGTGAAGGGGGGTGTTGAAAACAAAATTAAATAAATAAAAGTGTATTTTCTCTTAGATGAGTTGGTCACAAACTTCAATACGACTTTTTAACCCGGCCCACTCTAAAATCCAAATTGATAAGTCCAGACGACAGAATCTGAATTGCATGAGGTTTAACTTTATCCCCTTCATCCACACTTTAAGGAAAATATGGCATCACCATTTCTACAAGGAGGGAATAAACTGCTTTGCCACAGGGGGCAAGAAATAACAAAATGAAAGGTCTTAAGAGACTTAAGACTTACAGAAAATAACAAAATTCCCATTGGTGATGATCCAGAACGAGAAAACGAGCGTTCCCTGATACTGCGCACGAAATTCTCAGTCATGAGTCCCTGAAGTTTGTTCTCCCCAAGTTAGTGTAGCCCATTTTAAATCAAGTTAGCACAAATTTTCTACTAGATATAAACTATTCATATCCTTCAAAGTTCCAAGTAGGAACTTCATATATTCGAAATGAAAATAAAGTTAAAAAGTGGAAGCTCAGATTTCTCTCAATAAGGCAGACATATTTGTATAAATGTTAGGGGTTGTATTGGAGTACAGGATTACCCGAGTTTTTTTTAATGGGATTAAATCAACTGTTAATCCTGGCAAGAAACCAACAGTCACTAAAACACCCTCGTCCTCATCACGAAAATTCTCATGAGCCTTGTTGTCTTCCCATGTGTCCCACTGAACCTGGAAAAACATCATTTTCTCCACTTCAATTCTTGTTGGTTGAATTCAGAATGCAATCCCAAGAAGATTCTAGTCTATAACCACTAGATTTACCTCTTCAAACTCATTAGTGTTAGCGTCTTGCCCAAAAACTCCATAGGATATCGAAGTGATTATTGGAATTTCGCTACTGAATCTATCACTAATCTGCAGAACAATATATCCACCATAAGCAGCACATATAGCTTATTCCAATGTGTGACAATTCATACTTCGAATGGATGATTTTATTAATATCTCTAGTTTAACAAAGTATACCATTTCAATTGAAAAAACAAAATGGGACACTTTTCATTCTGATTGTTTCGTGTATTTTAACTTTGTAATCTTCATACTGATTGTCTCAATATATTAATTAGTTCGCATAGATCGATATAGGCTTGCTTGTGCCTAAAAAGATATTTTGTATGAATCACACGATATCAATGCTAAAAAAGTAGGTAAAATGTTCATTAGATTATTCGCTATAGATACAATACTCTAACAAACTTAAATAGCGTTGTCAGTCACTACGTAACTACTTGATGATTATAGATCTTAAGTCGAAAAAATAACCAACAATTCTACAATTAACATAATTATAGGGCTAAATTGATCTTTGACTACACTTCACTTTCCTAATCTTTTGCACGTCAGCTCATACTCAACCCGTTAGGTATCTAATTTGTTTCAGAAGAGCTATTAAGATAAGATTTCAAGTAATTATGCTGAATTAAACGCGGGTCCAAGTTGATATTTGAACAATTTAAATATTGTTTAGAACAAAACTGAGATCCTAAATTATTCTTTTATATAATAGGGTAATACACTCTCGATCTCAATTTATATGACACTGTTTTTAATTTTGTACAACAACAACAATGCCTCAATCTCAAACAAGTTGGTGTTGGCTATATGAATCCTCATTGACCACATTACTCCATTCTATAATAATATTATTCTAAACAATTTTCATAACTTCTAGTAGTTCAAGGTTATTCAAATTTACACTTCACTGTGAAATTTTTCCTTTAAACAAACATTTCAGCCATTTACTTTGCAACATTTTCTCTTATTATCACTAATAATATAATACAAATCTCAAATTATAATCTTAAAACTCTGAATTAAAAAGTATTCAGAATCATAAGAAAACAAGAAGAAGACTTATTTTAGACAACTTAAAATAAAAAGTAAGACGTTAATTTGATTTCGTTTTGAATATATTGATGCAGACCATTTAACAAACATATTCACTGAGTATGGCACAATCTCTAGAACACATAAATGCCAAATAAAGAGGGAGAGAGAGAGAGAAGATCACATACGAGACACTGAGCTTCCTCCAAGTCAAAAGAAGGACCAATGGAAGCAATTACAAACTGGGGCCGGATCGGTCTAGCTAAAACCTTGTCAACAGCCTCATCCACAGCACCCTGCACCAAAAATTCATTTTCAACCCAATAAACTCTTGTAATAAGCTAAACAAGATACTCCCATTGTCCCAAAATAGTTCTTTCAAGAAGTTTTCAACAAACTACAGTAACTTTTTATCAAATATTGTATTTGTTTCATCACTTCTCATCTTGTGTTGACTATCAAAGTTAAAATTCTTAAAATATATACCTCTCTTCCAGTCCCAAAAACAATGGCGAGGTTTGGAATACAAAGGTCAAATCATCTTACTTTTTGTGTGTATTCAAACATTTCTTCAATTTTTCAAAATAATTCTTTTATAAAGACTCTTTCTTTCTTAAATTAGAACAGAGAGAGTAATTTTTATAGTTAGTACTCCATATGTACCCAATTTATTTGATAATCTTTTCTTCTTTCTTTTGCAATAGTATGTCTCAAAAGGAATGACATCATTCTAATCTTATAATAATATAACTTTAAACTTTAAGTTTTTCCTTAAGAGGCATCTCAATTTTATGTGACATACTTTCTTTTTTAGTTTGTCTAGAAAAGAATGCCATACTTATTTTTGATTGGTATTTTTTCAAAAAAATTGGACCATGGGCCTGCCGGCTGCCCCTCTAGCCTTCTCCTGCTTAAAAATTGGACACGGGCCTGTGGCTGTCCGTCTAGCCTTCTCCACTTAGATATCATACGTTTTCATAGCAGAGTTTGAACATGTGACGTACGTCTAACCCACACACCACACATTGCACTCTTACCACTAGATCAAAGCTCTGAGAGCTATGATACTTTCTTATTTAGAAACAATTTAACTTTAAATTTCTCATTTTACCCATAATAAGATGATTTATGCTCACACAAATACTTATGATTGTTTTAGTCCACAAGTTTCAAAAGTTTTCTTTCTTTTCTTCTTAAGCTCCATGTCCCGTCAAAGACTACCATATAAGATGGTGAGGAGGGTGTAATTCTTATAATTAATAGTTCTTTTGTCCAATTTATGGAGCACATTTTCCTTGTTAGTCTGTCTTAAGAAAAGAATATACTTTTAAACTTACCATTTTCCCCCTTAATAAAATAAAATATCCGTAAGTTGTTTAAACCACAAGTTTCAAAAGTTTGTCTTCCTTTCTTGTGCTTAGTATTGAGCATAGAAACCCATAGCACCTACTATTCGGGTGCACACCAGATAAATTTTCTTCTACACAATAGCTCGCAAATCACATAGGTTAGTCAAAAGCCCGATGTGATGAGCTCGATTGAGAACGCATTGACAAGGGAATTGATCTCTCGAGTCTCACTTCAGACTATGTATCATCTCATTAAAATACAACAGAAAGTTTAAAGTTAGATTATTTTAAAATATAAAAAGGTATCGACAAACTACAAAGGAAAATGTAACGCATTAATTAGGGCTTTTAACAAGTTTCTACTTAGATCAACAAATTGGTTAAGCCAAAGGAAACAAAAAATTAGGATGAAGCTTACACCTGAAGACAAGGATGGCAGGAAAGAGCAGATGAAAGATTTGGAAGAGTGAGAAGGCGATTAATGATGAGATTCCAACTACGGTTCACACATGCTGCTGATGCACATGATTCTGCTGGTAACCGAGACAGAATGTTGTGCAGAAGGTCTTCTCCGATTAAATCCATCGTCGCCGTCTCCGCCGCTGTCTCCGTCTCCATCGCCGTCAATTTCTGCCTTTGTTTGGCCGCCATTTTTCGAAAACTGAAACACGCTCGAACTTCCTTTTTTTATTATTTTTTAAAAAACTGATATTGCTAGAGCGGCCCTTGAACTTCGCACTATTCACCATTAGTTTAAACTTCTCTAGATAAGGGCACAAAGCCTATAACCGAAATATCAGAGATAAATCTTAATTAAACTAATGTTTTATTATTTTGAACTTATTTTTTTATAATTTTATACAAATTTTATCATATGTGGCATATTATGTGACTCCACGTAGTTGAGGTGCGTGAAAGATGTTTGGATATCACATAAGCCAAAAAAGTGTATAAAATTACAAAAAAAAAAATGGGTTCAAGGTAATAGGACATTTATTTAATTAAAGTGTGTCTCTATAACGATTTCGTTTGAATAAAATATTTTTGTATTCAAGGGACACATCACACATTCCTACTTAGTTGAGGTGTTATTTGGTTGGGGTTTATTTTAGAGTGTTAAATTGACAAATGGGGCATGGGCTATATCAATAATATCGTTGTTTAATTTGGTACAAAATGATGGTTTTGAATTGGACGAGTTACATTATGATCCATTTTTACATGCTCATTTTATGTATATTTTGATATTATCTTTTGTGGAAATAAAAAATATTTCATTTATCTTTCAACTTTGACTTGTTTTTATTGTTCTTTTGAATAGAATAAAGTTGGACCAATTGAAAATAGACATATTGTGTAATTTTCAGGTTATACATTATCATCATCGATGAATGAGATTTGTGAGGTATATTTTTAATCATGGTATAAGAATTTGAGTTCATTAAGTTTATATTATAAGTTTATCTATTCATTTGTAACTTTTTTCTTAAATTTTTTTTTGTTGAAATTCAAATTATGGTTATAAAACTTAAATAATAATATATTAAAATTATTGAGATTAAACGGGTCAAATTAGACGGGTCAAGCCTCAACCCATTTTTAAGCTCATTTGAGCCCAAAATAAGCTTGGACGGATAAAGATCCAACCCAATTTTTATAATTTCAACTCAACCCACCCATCGACAGCCCTAAGTTTAACTATAACACTAAAATTACATTCGCCCGAAGTCACGTGCCATTAACACTCACCAACATTTAATAATAAGGTTGTAAGTTGAATTAGGTATAAGTGATTTAGATAATGTAATCATATTATTTGACTAGTGAATAGTGTAGTTAAATTAAATGGTAGATTAGTGGTCTTTGAGTGCCAATAAAGAAATATATACTTACCATTTTACTTTAGATTCAAGTATGAAGATATTACAAGATCTTTGACTTTACTTGTGTATTAATGTAGATGGAGAATTGTCAATCTCCTCTTTTTTTGTAAGATGGTAGTATCGGGTCAACTTGTGTACACTTGACTGATCCAATCCACCAAATACCTAGTGTTTCAGCAACAAAAATATTGTGTATGTGAAGTAGTCAAAAATGTCTTACGACAAAGAAAATGGAGATGCTCTTTGATTGTATCTGTTTGCTTGATCTTTGATTATCTAGATCTAAGACAAAATAACATTAAGTTACATTGTAGATATTTATTCTAGATATTATAATAATGATGTTCGAGTCAATTGTGCATACCTCGACTATTCCACCAGTTGATACATGTTATCTCTGGTCAATACAATACAAGATAACTTTGTCCACCAAGCAATGATAGATGTATAGTAAGGCTACTCGAAGCTCAAACACCTATCATATTTTACCCAAACACTAATTTTTATATCGAAACTAGTTATACAAAAATATTGATCGAGCACCTAACTTTGGAAAGGTAGCAATTCGAGTAGTTGTAGTTGAGCATACAGGGCTGACATAGCCGTTGAGATTTTAGTCCAATAAAAGGAAATCAAGTAGTGTTATAATCTTTAACGAACCAAAATTTAAAGTCAGTAGTTTTAGAATCAACATCAAATATCAATTTGTATATAAAAGATAGAAACACAAATGAGGAGGAGCATTTTGATAAACATGCTGCAGAATTTACAGTGTTGACTAACAAAACAAATGAAAATCAGAAGTGAAGTGAAGATGGACTAAGCTAAGTATCATTAATTAAGCTACTTATGTATTAGACAGTATATAATTAACTAAATTAGACCTAGCTAGGACTAGTATTTTGCAGAGAAAATTAATATAATAACTTGTTAACATGTTGCAAAAAGATGATCTAATGAGTACAGAAAACCAATCATATGCATATGGACAAGTCAAAAGGGCAGATCCTAGATGTGTGGGATTCTTGCTGTGATTTAGTAGACATAATCATGGGTAGAGAGTTTGAGTCGCGGAATAAACTATTGATGCTTATGTCAAGATAAGACTGTTTATGCTAGACATCTAGACCCCCATAGCTGCGGCCCTTCATTGGAGCCTAGATAACAAGATACTTCGTGTCCTGAGTTGTCATTTCATATGGTATAGAACCTTATACGGGGTAAATCCCGGATAGTAAACCAATGAATCAAGATAAGTTGGCCAGTGAGTTTCGAATACAGGATGGTTACACAAGAAAAAGGCAGTGAACATGCTCAAGGACATAAATGCCATGCCAGCAAAATTGGCAAAAAAGTATATGCAATGTACACAAAAGGCATTTCAACAAATCTATACAGGAATTAATGTTCATTTCATTTATTCTGAATCATGATGTACAACTCTAAGAACTTTCACAATTGGGACTAAATATGTATGTTTAATGAACCACAATAAGGTAAAAGTTTACTGACTTTGATGACGAAAACGTAAGCTTTCATTGGCCACAGAATGATAATAGGCTCGAAGCAATCTTTTACGGAACCTTCCAAGATTCAACCTAACATTTTGTCGATCAAGGTAGATCTTTTTCGTGAATTCCCATCCTCTATCGTTCACGCTGTTAGGGTCAGTCAGGACGGGATCATTCTTGTCATATTCGTCATACAATGAGCTCTCTTTAGGAAGAATTTTGTATCCAATGTACTTGAGGCCTAGTTTCACTGCTGGTTCTCCGTAATAAGTACCTGCTGCCCAATCTGTTCCAAGTGGAATGATTTGGATGAAAACAGAACCAGGCCTCATGAAGAGGAAATGTGTCATGGCAGCACCATGAACTCCTATCATAACATCACTTGAATTAAGGACTTGGTAGATACTTGCAAGCTCTGTTGTTCGTTGTGGCCTCAAAACTTCCACGTGAAATCCAACATCTTTGATCAGTTTAACCAAAGAATCTTCGTTCATTATAGCTCTAGAATCATTTCTAGCTATTATAACCACTTTAGGTTTCTTCAATTCCTGTTTTCCATCCATCTTTGTCTCGGATGAGGGTAACGAAACATGTTTTTCCATATTCATCCGAGCATCACGTTCCTCATCTTGGATCAAACTTCTAATCCGAGGCAAATAAGCTAGGTCTAGAAGGTCTCTAAAGTCTCTAATGGTCTTATCATTTCCCATCAATGAAGAATTAACAGTTAGCTCATCATGGATTCTTAAACCAACTATGGCTTCAGGGAAGCAATGAGTTCTCTTATCTCCACTAAAATCTATAATAGGATACTCGGTGAGGTGAGACAGGACGTTCTCGTACTTCATTATCCACCATGCATGGTACTCAAGGATTACAAACACAACCTTCTTGTTGAACTGCTGAGAAGTGATGTAAAGGGGCAAAAGTCCGTCATTAAACTCATGGTAAAGATTACCGGTGTAACCTCCAGTAGAGAAAAACACAGCCGGCACATCATGTTTAACATCACACTTTTGATGAATCCTGGAATGCTCTCCCTTCACAACAAGGTCTAACTCATCGACGGTGTCCATCACATTTTTTTCCCATTTCCGAGTATATGGCCTAATCTTCTCATGCCGAAGCACCTCACCATTCTCATGACCATTGTTTCTGTAGAGGGTAATTCTAGAGGAAGCAGAATCTGTCCTAACATCGCCTTTCATCACGCATACATCGGAGCGGATACTGCTTCTTTCACAGCAAATTGACCCTGCAATTCAACCAAAGGATCTATCAAAAATTGGGAAGATAAAGAACCATGTTGACATATTTTACTGTTACACTAAAACCAAAAACCTTAACAAGCAAAAGTCTATCATACCAACACAAGAAACTCAATCAGCCCCTACTACAAACATTTATGCCATAATACATACGCGGACACTCAAATTTGGCCTTAATTGGCAAGTAAGCACTCCAACTTTGAGAGATAGGCACTTCAACTTGGTCTCAACTGACAACTGAACACTCTAGCTTGTCGGTGTCTAGATTTGCATACTCAAATTCGGAGTGTTTAGTTGTCAATTGTGACCAAGTTAAAGTGTCTATCCATATATTATTCCACAACCATCACATGATCATAATACAAGATAAAATCCAAAAATAGACTTCATCCCCCACCCCACCCCACCCCAATATGTCACCATAGATGGATATAGGATCATTTTCAACAGAACATAAAAATAAGTAACAAGTAAAATAATTAGAACTAACCATTAGAGACAGAGGAACAAACATTAAAATCTGATTTAGAAATAAGTCCTCCTTCTTCAGAACTAAATGAATCTGCACACATGCAAAACAGAACAAAATCAGAAAAATTTGAAACCCCAAAAACCAAAAAGATAAGAAAAATAGAGAGCAGCTTACACAAGAGAGAAAAATTATGATGAGAAGTGAACAATTGTGGAGCTAGAAAAAAGCTAAAAGAGATTAAACAAAGAAAAAGGAGGTAAAAAAGTTTTGGTTTAGTTCTTTTGTGATTGTAACCAGAGTTTCCACACACTAAACCAATAGGGGTAGTTTCTTCATCTACACAAACCACAAAAACATCCCCTTTCCTATTCCAGTGCTGATATCTCTTATAATGCATCATTTTCTTGCACATACTATACACTAAAATAAAAAGACAACAACTTTTTTTTGTTTTTTCAAGACCAAAGAAGAAAACTTTTTATGTTATATGTTTGAAAGAAGAAAAGGGTGTTTGAAT